AGTTGCCGCCGCAGCGGCCGCAGAATCGGGAACCATGCGTTCAGGTACTAGCGAGCCGCGACTGCACGCCGACATACCCACGATAGCCACGCCGGATGCGAGTCCGGGCATGCGGCGGAAAGGCTCCACCCGCCGGTCGCTGCATCAGTCGCACCCCAGAAAATCTACCGCCTTCCTAGACGTCCCGAACAACACAGGGGTCTGTCCCGAGGACGAAGACGAAGAGTCCTACAGATTACGGTCTTTCAGCTTCACGTCAAAAGGTAAGTACAGAAATGTTGCTCTGCCCGTGCGGTCGAAGTCCCCCGAAACCACAATTTCCCACAAATCCTTCGTCGAGGTGTTTTTCAGGGACATAAACCTTGTTGTGATTTGCAACGGATTGCTACATCTTAAGTATTATAGCAATATCAAATTAAATAAGAAGAAGTTACGGCTGAAAAGTTTTTCTGTCTGCAGTATTACCAAAGTCGAACTAAATACCAGTCACACGGCAGATGATCGCAGAAGGTTATACGATGCTTAGGAAGGTGCACTTCGAACAGATGATCTCGTTACGTTAATGTTTTTATCGAACCAATGAGAGACGTGTACAGATTTCGTACAAGGCGGAAAATAATTTGACTATTTTACTGATACACGTGCATATGTAATAAATTAACTTTTATTGAAGAATTAGCAACACAAGCCTAGAAATGTACTCGCATTTACACCCTATAAGCATTTAAACAAAGTAAATTTAATTCATGTGTATATGATAATGTATATATCTGCATTAATACATTAAGGGGCATATTTTAAGTTTAAAAAACTGCCTAATGTCTTGTTACTTTACGACCATAAGATGAAAGTAACTAATTAACTAACTAGCTCTATGGAGCACAGACCTTTTTGAGAAGCTGATAGTCACTCAGCTATTCAAGAAATATAGCCTTTTATAAAACCGGGCGTTTCATTACCGTGTTCACAAAAGCCCGCCAAATCCGAGGCACTGTTTCATTTTATGACGTTCCGATTTTTACAGCGAATCGTTTGCGCCCCGCTGAAACTCACACGGTGGAAAAATCTCTCCTTGCCGGCTGTCCCCGTCTGCTTATTCATTATCTTTGCAGCCATCTTCCGCATCTGCAGGCCTTCAACGAACGTCGCCGCTTCGTATTCGGAAGGTCCCGGGTTAAATTCTCGGTCCGCAATCCGGATTTTCATGTTTTTCTGCTGTACCACCAGGCAACTGTCAGAATTGCCTTAAATTAGGCCATGGCCTCTCTTCTTGTGTTCTTTCCAATTATTAATTAATTTAATCATTGTTCATTAATTATTATATCGTAGGGCGATATATATTCTAAGCCACTGGCAGTGTAGTTAAATAACTTAAAAACAAGTGAACTCTCTAACCACAGCTTAAGGACACACCATGCCGTAGTGAAAGAGGTCAACAAAACATGGCAATCCGAAGTAAAATAAAATAAAGTAAAAATGTCAGGACTAAGTTTAGTGTCCGTCCACCATTTTGAGTTTCAGAGCTTGGGCTGTTACGTGCTAAAGGACGGCAGATATGACGAAACTAACAGGTGGTTTCGATTTCTTTTTCCAAACACACCAAGTAAAACGTGTAAGCTGTTTACCAAAATAAAAATGTTAAAATGTGGTACAGAAATAACACAGTAGATCTATATAAAGTGTTTGTTGTTTTAAGACAAGCCTAAGTTATTAGGTACACAGAAGTAACGGGTTTTCGTTGAAATGTCTTGACATTTCCGTATGTAACTTTCGTTAAGCAAATACACGACGGTAATATTTCCGTTCCCTTACATGCAGAAGTGTATCGGTAAGTAACGACGTAGCTTAGCAACCGTACTGGGTTAAAATCAACGAAGCTCCATCAAGTTTGTCTTTCGTGACGACACAGTTGATGACATAGGAGAGGAAGGGTTGACGTGTAGAAGGTCTTAGATTCGAGACCGGTTCATCACACGGAAGAGAACGAGCTTTCTAGAAATGAGGTGTACATATCATTTACCTTAGTTCGGATCTCACATTAAGTTACATATTCCCTCCGTTAGTCATGTCAAGACCATAGGACAGATGTCTGTTTTCTTGAGACGCTGACAGACATTCGCCTCCGCATATTAAGAAACCAAAAGGTTTATTGCTGTGTATACAATAGCTCGCCACTAGTCATTATCCAGAGTCACATAAATACAGTTCACGCCCTTATATCGTATTTAAGACCCGTTTTGATATAGGTTACTCCCATCTAAATCCAGGTCTCACAACTAGACTTTCTCTCCACTTCGTGTTATAATGTCTTCAATGATGTATGTTTACCATATTTGGTTGCTTGGTAAAAGTTCAACGAATAAATCGATTACTATGCGGCGACAATGTGTAGAAAGATAGTTAAAGAGAATATGTATCTGCAAGATTGTCATAACAAATATGGAACTCCACTGGTTGAATGCTATTTATTTTAAGAACCCGGGCGAAGAAGAAACAGTTTTACCGAACGTCGCGACCAAGTGATTTCGGTAGGTCCTAAGTTAAAATCTCACTCGGAGACCGGTTATTTTGACTAAAGATTCTCATTGTTTTGCAGGTTTTTCCGGATAGTGCATTAAATTATGCCACGACCACTTCCTTCCACATAGTTTCCAATTTATTATTAATTAAAAACCTAGAACTACTTATAACGTCGTAAAACAAATACAAACGGGTTTGCTAGTATATAAGCGTACTCCAGTATACGTCGAAATATATAAAAAAATAATGATAAATTCCCAGGTTTGGTGTTTGATTCAGAAGGTTAAAGAAAGCAACGGATTTTGTAAATCATCTAAATATAATATATGTTTGACGCTGAGTGAACTTCCCGGTGTAGGACTGGGAAGCACTGTGTGGGGGGGAAGCCCCTCGACGTATAATTAGAACATAGTGGCTTCTGTTGTGGAGCACGCTGGAATACAAAGCAATGCCAGCAGCTCATGAGATGGCGAAACCAGATCGCGGTCTACAGACTACAAATGACATGAATCATTTTCATACCTATTTGGGATGTCGACGGTGGTTGCATATTTTCGTTAATTTTTACTCCTGGAACAGTTGGTCGGTTTATGTAGCGTCAATTGATGCATGGTTGTGGCTTATTTGGATGTAGTACTACAACACTTTCTCTGTTGGAAACTAAGAGGAACTAGGTATACCACACTAAAAATCTTTGGATATGTGGCACATATTTTGAATTCGAACAAGGGAAATTCCTTAGGATTTGAGGTTTTCACGGCGGTGAGTCCGAAGATGGCTGACTTCTGG